AAATCAAATCAAATCAAATCAAATCAAAAATACATTTGGTTTAAAATGTCTGAAATGTCTGTTCGGTCTGCTTAACTGGCACGTTAGCCAAAGTGCGCCTATCGTCCAGCTCGGTTGTGAGGAATCCGAGGGGCACTTGAAAGCAGCACGGACCCTTTGCCCCGCCCTCTTTTGTCGCCTGTGGAGAGCTTGGTCCCAGACTGCAGGACTCATCGGCTACATGTGGGAGTCTGAGCCTACCTGCTGAGTTAAAACTAAACTAAACTTGCTTGTATTTCAAGCTTAGCCTGTGTGGAGTAGTAAAAGTTTACCTTTACTTTTTGTTTTTAATTTCTGAACAAGAGGTTGGATGTTTAAAGTAAAGAAAGTTTGACTTCAGCAGGTCAGCAGTGACTGAACGACGGGATTTATGTTTAACCTCGGGGAATAAGTTTTCTGTTTGTTGGCGGATAAACGGGAGCCGCTGAGGGAACTTCTCCCGGGGTTGGAGGAGGACAGGAACCGGAGTGAGGTGAGTTGAACATCATCAGCTCAGTAAAACCTGCCTCCTGGTCATCACTGGTTCMGTTGTCGGAGCCTACATGTCGCCCTGTGGACACAAGCAGCGCTGATTTAATGCTTATACTTGTTTTATTAAGGATAACAAGTTTAAATGCCCGTGTGCGCGATCAGAGCAAAGAAAGTAACGTGCAGGTCAAACTTCGGCATTCGGTATTTTCGCGAGCGTATTGTGACGTCACACCGCGCGCCCCTGTAGTGGCGGTGCTTCTGACCAGCAGGGCMCGCTGCAGAGAAAATGCGCTGAGCTGGGCAGACTTATGGACCACCGGCTTAAATTACAATAAAGAGATTAAAGAAACATAGTTAATCAGGAACAAAAACTATAAGAAAATGTTTTCATAAACTCAGACTGATTCCATGACTGACCAGTGGTTCTGTTACATTAACTGTTTACCTGTTCTTGTTCTTTTATTGTCAGACTTTGAGTTATTGTTTTCTCAGATAAACCTGATAATCTCAGCTTCAATTAAGCACCTACAAGCTGTAAAAAAAGAAAGACAAAAAAATGCTTAAAATTACAGTAATACTGAGTTGCAGCTGTGGTTGGTACAAACCACGCCCACTGACTACAAACCACGCCCACTTGACTGGGGAAGCAAGTTTTTAATGTAAACACTGAGGCGTGGTTGTTTTGTCACGGTTCTATGGCCATGACTGTCCGTCCGTCCGTCCGTCCGTTTTCTTCCACTTATCCGGGGTCGTGTCGCGGGGGCAGCAGCCTAAGCAAAGAGACCCAGACTTCCCTCTCCCCAGTCAATTGGGCCAGCTCATCCTGGGGAATCGCGTTTCCAGGCCAGCGGACAAACATATATATATATATATATATATATACTGTATAG